CGGGACGGGGCCGAAACGCCGCGCGTCGCCCCGCTCTCTGCCGCGGGGCCCGCTCGCCCCGCTCCCCGGGAGCTCGCGCTGCCACCCGCGGCGGGGCCGGGCCGGGCCGGGCGCCGTGCGGGGATCCCCCGTCCCTGGCCGTGCCCCGGCCCCGCTGCGCGCTGGGGCCTCTCGCCAGACCCTCCTGCCGACCTCCCCTATCCCCTGCTCGGCCTCTGCCGACCCCGGGGCGCCGCGGCCTCCAGGCCAGCCGTGCCTCCGGCTGTGTCACCTCCTTTCCCCGCGGGCCGGGTGCGGGCGTGTGGCCGTGCTGTCCTCCCGGGAGTCCGCCAGGCTCCTCCGCGGGCACGGCGCCCGCGGCTTTCACTCCTGGAGCCTCCCGCTGCTGGGCCGGCCGGCGGAGAAGCGCGGGCTCTCGTTGTGCCCCCGCGGAGGGCGCTCCCCGTATCCCGTCCTTGTCCCCCTCCGGCGTCCCGAGGGCGCTGATGCCCCTTGGCGGGGAGGCTCCGGGGCTGCGGGTCGGGCTGAGCTGCTCCCTGGCTGACAGCCCTCCCTCCCAGCCGTGTGTTCTCCGGGCTGGTGTTCGCCCAGGTCTGTCGGCACTCAGGGTACCCCTGTCCCTTCTTCCCTTGATGCATCTGAACGCCCCTATGTCAGCGGCAGCCTTCTGCTGTCTGTTTGCCCGTTGTCAGGCTACTGATGTAATTAATTGAATTGCGGGTACCAGACATGTTCTGATATGTTCTGCCATGTTTTCAGTCTCCTTGCAAAAGATGTACTCCAGTGCCTGACAGATTCAGGAAGAAATGCAGTCAGGGTTGTTAAAAAGGGGCCACTTATTTTTAGATATGCAGTCTGATGCTTACCTCCCTGCTGCAGGGATAAGTTGAGCAAACATCTAGGTGCCCTTGAGCAGCAGTCCCAAGGGCATGGGCTGAGGGGCAGGTGAGGACCCCTCTCCTGAGTCACAGCAGAATGGGGAGGGCACCAGTGGGGCTGTGCCACATCCCTCTGCCAACATCACTCTTGAGGGGCAGCTCTCTGGCCCCCTCTTTAACTTCAAAGCCATGTTGTGTGGCAGCTCAGTGCCCAGCTGCCCTGCAGGTCGCCTTCCTGGCTGCCTGGCCCCAGGCTGGAGTCCTGCTGGCCCCAGCAGGCAGGACCCAGCTCTTCTTCTTCAGCAGGCCTGGAGGGAACCCACTGCTGCACTGACAGGACTAAAGGGTGCACCAGGCCTTAAGTAAGCAATTGCTCTTTCTGTCGTGGTGCCCATTTCTTATTATGGCTTTAATCAAAACTGAAGCCGGATAACTTATAAATGATGCAGAATCATTAGTGATTAATGCATTGGGCAGGGCTTCACTGTGGCATGCTTTTGCCGAAGAGCCAAGCAGAGTCTTGGAGCGTCTTGGCATTACAGAAATGTTATTAATAGTTGGCTTCAGAGAGTACGTTTTTTGGAGCCCTTGCTCTCGCAGATCTGTATGGCAACAGCTCTGGCATGAAAATGCTCTAGCCTTAGCTGCAGAGCAGGCTGGAGAATGTTAGGCTTGATGTGGGGTTCATATGCAAAGCTTCCTATAGTGTGAGCTGTCATAGAATCATAGAATTGTCTGGGTTGGAAGAGACCTTTAAGATCATAGAGTCCAACCACTAACCTAACACTGCCAAAACCACCACTAACCCATGTCCCTCAGCACCATGTCTACACATCTTACAATCACCTCCAGGGATGGTAATGCAATCACTTCCCTGTGATTGGAACAGCAGGCTGTTCCAATGCTTGATAACCCTTTCGGTGAAGAAATTTTTCCTAATATCCATCCTAAACTTCTCCAGCACAATTTGAGGCTGTTTCCTCTTGTCCTTTGGAGGTCTTGTCATAACAACTTTCAGTGAGGTCTCAGCTTGCGTATCCTTGAGATTAAATGTTGTCCCATGTTTCTAGAGTGAACTTCTCCAGTTTTGACTTCTGAAACTTCTTGTTCTATCTCCTCCTGCTGGGAGTGCATATCCTACATGTTCAGAAATGTCTTTTCTGCAGTTTGCTGAACTGCAAACTGACCATGGGACACTCATTTTTGCAATGAAGAGCTGCAGGCTGGACATCTTCGGGTCTCGCTGTCACAGAGGTTCAGGTCTGCTTGCCCGGAGCCTGCACAAAGTGTGTTTGTGATGCATGAGGTCTGAAGCACTGACCAGCCACATGCACTGTGGCTCCGTCATGCCCCCCACGAGCTCTTGCTCTCTCTCTATTTGGGACATTTAGGGATTGGCTCTAGGTGCAATAGCAGATCATGCTGGCTTTGAGTGTACTGTCTTTGCAGTTTGATACCAGGATGGTATCCCCCTGGGATGCTGTTCTGCTGCTGGGGAGTGACGGTCCCTACACAGGGCCTGTGCTAACTCTGGCTGAGTGCCGTACAAGCAACACTGTCAGCCCTGCGTGGACCCAGCAGCATGGCTCATGGGTCTGTGCAGCGTACTCGTTCTGAAATCATAGAGTGACTCAGCCCCAAGGCCTCACGCGTGTCTCGGCATCCCCAGCCTGAAAACATGGGCTGGGCCAGGCTGGGCTCCCCGCAGAAGCCTAGAAAATTCTTATGCAGAGCTGGGAGCCTGCTACAAGCTCCATCCACAGACTTCTGTGGTGCAGAAATGTCAGACCTTGCCTTTAATTTCCTCACATATATTTAAAGGTTGGGAAGTCCAACTCCCCAGTTTAAGCATGTTCAGACCTCTTCTCATTCTGTTAAAAGCTACCTGATTTATTACTGTAGATGTATCCTATGAAGCACCAGGTCCTGTTCTTGTCCTGAAGCCAGCTGGCAGCATCTGCTCACATCCATAGCACTATGCTCGTGAGTTCCCAAGAGGGGAGCACATTGATGCTACCTACTAGGAATGGTTCATGGCTCATGCTAGCTCCTGACCCGTGCCCAAGAGTGGTTTGAGCACATGCTGGATGGTTCAGACCAAAGCAGTTCCTGGGACTAGTCTCCACCACTGGATTACTGGGCTGTTTCTGACCTCGTTACGTTTGCTAGCAAAGTGGTAGCCTTGAACAACTGTTCTTATGCCTGAAGGTTAACAGAAACATTGCAGCCCCCTGAGACACACACACACACCTCCCAGACCACATCTGCGGGGAGCTCAGCTCCTCTGCCCCAGTCAGCGGCCAGTTCTGGGGAACACAGCTTTATTCAGCCTGGTTTGCTGTGAGCTTGCGGGAGAGCAGGATGTGCAGATAAGGCTCAGAGGCTCCCTTTCACAAGTTGGAGTTATGAAACAGTCGCACTGGCAAAACTTTAAGGACGCACACTTTTCATGGAATAAAGAATATTTGAGTGTGTCTTTGAATCCTTTCCAGTTTTCCAGCTCCTGTTCTGGAAGAGAGGCTGTAGCATCCCGTGATGTCTTTGTTCATGTTGTCTCCAATGACTGCCTCCTTGTGATGCAGGATTCTGTTGGTGATACACTCAGCCCCCGTGTCTCTGAGAACATGTTTTCTGGGCTCTGTGGGTCACCCTCCTGTCTGTTTCAGTCACCCGAGACCAACCAGAAACCTAGAAACCTGCACTTCTTAGAGTGGGAATCGTGGCCTTTTCCTGGTAGATCTGTCATGGAGCTGGATATATTCCAATGTGAATGAATGGATTTAAATGGCTGACCTGCAGAAATGACCTTTCTTTGTCACTGTAACTGTGGTTGTTAGTGGTGTCTGTGGTTGTCTTTTTTTCTTGTTCTGAGGTTTGTTCTGGGGCCCTTTTTCTATCTATATCTATATCGGTCTATAAATCACAGCATTGAACTTGTGCTACACAAGCAGTTTGTAGAAGGACACTGCTTTGTATACAGGGAGGGAGGATACTCAGACAGCAGCCTCAATGTCTTTACTCATGTGCTCCTGTGTCCAATTTACAGACAAAATTTGGCTTTGTATGTGTACCAGTGTAAGATCCTGCCATGATCTTAGTGCTTTGAAATCTCAGAATGGTGATGGTGCAGACCATGGGTCAATCAGACCAGCTTTCCAAAGGATAACAATGGCTGAGGGTTGCTGCCAGCTTTGCAGCCAATGGCATTGCACTGCTGGGAAAGGCAGCTCTGCCTTCTGCATCGGGCTTTCCCTCCCACTCTAGAGCAGGGAGCAATGCCAGGCGGATGAGATGGCCAGATTGAGTTGCATAGTGTTTTATTCCAAGCTGCCCCATTTTTCTGTCACAGTTGATATATAAATACTGTGTCTGGGCTGCTTCCTACACAGTTCTGGGTGGTGTGCCAGGCATTCGTGATGTGCACATCGTGGGATGAGAGGAGTCTGATTTTACCATTGCAGTCTTGGTTGAAGGATTACACTAATGTAGGATTTGTTTGGACTTTCTGGACCCTACAGAAACACTGGACTTCCCTGCCAAGAGCCTACTCTGTGCCCAGGCTGAGCAGGAGCATGTCATGCCAGGCAGCCCTGCTTCTGCTCGTGCTGCAGCTGAAGGAAGTAAACTTTCCAACAGATGAACATCAGAGCAGCAGCGAAGGTACCTCAGATCTGCAAGCAGATGCCCTTGTGAAGAGCTGATGCGAATGTCATTCTCTCTGATAGCAGGGTCTCTGCAGTGCTCTGAGACAGGCTGCAGGGATTTTTCATGTGATTTTGAGCTGTAGGGACTGGTTAAATTGCCATGACAGTCTCTTAAACTCTGTAATTCTTTTTTGCTCAGGACAGGCCTTCATGCATTTCCTATTTCAATGTCTGCAAGGTGGAAGGAGCCTACTGGGGGCCCTTCGTGTCTTTAGCCAGGTTTGGCAGCCCAGGCATGCGGTCAGTACTGCTAATCCCTTTTGGGTGGACCACGTGTGATGAGCTATGGGCTATGTCTGCCACTGCAAGCAAGCCCTTTAGAGAAGAGCCAGTTGGATGCCTCATGAGCTTGTCCTCCTTCCCCACTGTAGGACACTGCAGAGGGTGAGGTGTGCAGTGAGCACATTTCTCACCAGCAGCCAGGCGGGGAGGAGTCCTGGCCAGCGAGCCAAGGCTGCCAAACCCATTGGGTGTCACAGAGGGGTAGCTGCACAGGCAGGGAGCAGCTCGGTGCCTGCAGACTTTCCCGTTGCACAATGGACAGCTGCCCACAAGCCCAGCAAGCACCATGCCCTGTGTGTGTGGCTACTGGGGCTCAGCCTTCTGCACCCACTGTGCCACCCCTCTCCTGGGGACAGATTCGCCAGAGAAGCTGCTCCCTGTTGCCCTGGCCACTGTGCTGCCAGGGGCAGATGTTGGAGAGGCCACGCATGGTGGTGTGCAAGCCAAGTGCCTTTTCTGAGACATCTTCTTTTGTCTCTTTCCTGTGCCTTGCCTCTGTCCGTCCCTGGCTTACCCAGACAGGCCACCATCCCCTGTCAACGTGACTGTGACGCAGCTGAAGGCAAACTCTGCCACAGTCTCCTGGGACGTCCCAGAAGGAGACGTGGTCATCGGCTATGCCATCTTACAGCAGGTATCCAGGCGCTGTCCCCGGGGGCTGGGGATCTCTCTCGCTGGTTACCAGCATGCTCCTATTGCAGCCCTTGTGCTGCTGTTTGGGGCTCCTCTGGCATCTGCCTGAGGACACATCTGCTGTTGAGCAGCCCTTGCCAGGGCACCCTGTCTGAGCCATCCATCCTGGTGGGAGGCAGCAGACCATGGGCTGTGTTGGGGACAGTTATCCCTCCAGTGGCTTCCCTGCAATTTCTCTGGTTAAATATAGTGCCTCAGCCATGACATAACCCTTTGCTTGCCTTCCTCTGCCTCCACAGCCCCAGATGATGGTGGCTTCTCCAAGGAGGCATCTGGCTCTCTGGCCGCACAGGGATGCTGCATAGCCAAGTGCTGGCCAGCCTGGCCCCCCCAAGGGTGGATGGTTGCCCGGGAAGGGAGGAGTAAGGGCAGTGTGCCCGGCACAGCCTTGCAGGCAGGGGCCTGTGCCCGGTGCCGCTGGGAACAGCCTCCCCGGGTTGACAGCTCTTCACTCCTGCAGCGGCAAGATGGGCAGATGCAGCGGTTCATCCGGGAGGTGAACACCACAAACCGCGCCTGCGTGCTCTGGGACCTGGCCGAGGACGCCGATTACATCATCCAGGTGCAGAGCATCGGCCTCTATGGGGAAAGCCAGGCCAGTAAGCGTGTGCACTTCCGAACCCTGAAGGAGACTGACCGCCTCCCTTCCAACAGCTCCAACCAAGGTGAGGCAGCTCTTTCCAGCTCACCCAGGTGCTGCTGATGGGGCCACACCTGGAGGTCTTCCCAGCCAGCGAGGAAGGTGCTGCCCTGAGCTTCAGGCTCCTTGGGGGGACACAGGGTCATAACCAGTAGCAGGGTTGTACAGGCTGCACTTGTGTCATGGTAATGTCCCCAAGCCCTGGATTACAGCCCTCCCATCCCAGGTCTTTGCACCCTGTTCAGCTAAGCAGAACAACTACTGTGGCCTGCTCAGCTGCTGCCCGTAGGAAGCAGACCATTGAATGGGTTCTCCCAGCCTGCAAGCTACCAAAGGACAAATGACAGAGCCCCACAGCCTCCTTTCTTACTCATATCCATGTTGTGCCTTCTTGCCTTGGGGTTGCGTACATGCTGGTCCATGAGAGATGATCCAGAATTCTAAGAGAGATGATGCTCAGAGCATCCACTGGACATAGGAGTCTGTCTCCAGCACTAGCCATAAGAGGGGGACTTGAGAAGAGCCCAGGGCAAGCAGGTTCCTCAGAAATTTTGTGTTCAACTCACGGCCTTCCTAACCTGCCCTGGTCCCTACACAGGGAGTAATCACTGAGATGCATTGTGCAGTCCCTACTTGAACCCAAACAAGCTGTTAGAATTCCTGACTGCCTTTGGTAGGGAGTATACTTTATCTGAGACAGGAAAGCCACAGGCTGCATGTCTTCTCCCCAGCCAAGACGTTATCGCACACCCATCCTTCTTTGGGGGAGGTGGGCCTCTTTCCTCTGGAGCTCCTTCTCAGGTCCTAGAGTGTTACTGGTCCTGGAGTAGGTTCTGGTGGGAGGGTGTCTGCTGCCAGTCCTGCCTGGGCTCTCCTCTCTGCAGGTGACATCACCATGGAAGGGCTGGACAAAGACAGGCAGCTGCAGACGGGCGAGATTATCATCATTGTGGCTGTGCTGCTCATGTGGGCAGGTGAGTGCTGCAAGCAGCATCCCAGCAGGCTGGGGCAGAGGTGCAATCTAGGATCCACAAAGAGAATGGATCTCAAGAGAGTGCAGAGGCATATTGGTATGGATCTGGCATCCTTTCCAGTGAGTCTGTTGGGTCCCTGTAGAGCTTGAACCAGGACTTTTACCCAAAAGGAGCAGCCAGAGCCACTGCTCAGCAGTGATGGCCTGGAGCATGTGGACCGGCTGGCCTGACTGCCAGGCTGGAAGACCAGGAGACAACATGGGAGCCAAGTAAAACAGAATTACAGGTGGGAGCATCCCAGCTGATGTTAACTATTATTTAAGTTGGGCCCTAGCTAGTTTATCTGACATGGGGTAACATTGCTGCACTGGTTGGTAGTGGCTGTGCCTCAGTCTGCTGGAGCTGTAGGATGGGTGATGTGCTCCTGACAGCAGCCAGCGCTCCAGTGAACACCAGGGTGCCCTGGGAGCAAGGAAGCCTAGGAGATAAGAGTCAGCTCCTGACTGGTCACATGCAGCCGCTGCAGATGGGAAATCATTTGTGCCCTACTCCCTTCTCAGTAAATGTGGATTTTCTAGTGGCTTCTTGCTGGAATCTCCCTTTGTCCTAGCCTTAAGCACTTTTCTAGTGCACTGGAAGAAAATACCAGATAGCTGCTGCTAGCTTACAGCTTGTGCAGGTTGGTGTGTCAAGGAGAAATCAGGTCCAGTCTGCAGGTGGCCATGGTCACGCACTGTGGTTTGAACAGGTCCAACACATCTATGTTTGAACTGTCTGATGACAGTTCAAAGCATTGCCCCAGGGTCTCCAAGTGTGGCATGTGTGCTGCGTGAAATGGGTGCTGTAAAACCATGACAGTCACCCATTCCATGGTCAGTTTGCAGGACAGGACAAATCCAAGGGTTGGCTTTTTTGAGGGTTGCAAGTACTGGACCAGTGACTTCAGTGCCTTGCTGGAGGCATTCAGAAACCCACTCAGCTGCTCACTGACCTCAACGGTTGTCCCTCTCTGAGTGCCTCGCCATCTGGCTTTGGCCTCAGAGCCCTAAGCTGTAGACACCGTGCATCTCACATGTGCCCAGATGGCTTTAGCCACATCCGTGCCTCATCTGTCCGAGGAGACTGGCCGGGCCATGCATGCAGAGGTGCCTGTGGTGGCCCAGACTGACACAGGACCAGCATCCCAGGGTGCCCTGCCCCGGTGCAGCTGGGATGCTGTGGGGAGGAGAGCTGCCGATGTGAGGGAGTTCTTCATCCTCTGTCTTTTGGCAGCGGTGATCGCCCTCTTCTGCAGACAGTATGACATCATCAAGGACAACGACTCCAACAACAACAAAGAGAAGACAAAGCCGTCCTCAGAGCATAGCACGCCAGAGCGACCAAGCGGAGGGCTGCTGCGGAGCAAGGTGAGTGGGGAGTGCTGGCAGGAGGGATGGCATATGACATCTGCTGTGGCTTGCTGCTGGGACAGGTTCTGGCTCTCTCCAGAAATTGAAACACCCCAGCTCACGCTCTCACCCTAAAAATGGAAGGTTTTTGTGGTGCGGTGAGCCCTGGTCTCCCTGGGGCAGTGAGGGACATGGCAGTGAGACGTGCCTGGCACTCAGCAGCCCTCATCTGTCCCTCCATGACAGTCATCCCATGCTTTGTGGGATTCTCTGCCCCATGGCAGATGCCGTCCTAACCCCTCTGACCCTGCACCTGCCTCCAGTTGTAGCATGGCTACCACTAGGGACCAGACAGAAGTCACCAGACACTGCAAGCCCCAGAGGCTGAAGAGTGTGGGGCAAGGGGGCTCGTTCACCCACGGGTACTGGGGCACAGCAGTGGGCAGAAAGGCTTCCTGGGGAGGCGAGTGTGCAGTTGAAGGGACTTATCAGCTGAGCCACCTGAACCCTTCTGCCCGGAGAGCACACGGGTGCTGAAGGCTGTGGTTCCATTGTTGGCTCCCTTGGTCCCCTGAGAGAGATGCTGAAGCCAGGGCTCTGCTGCAGCTCACCCACACCTCAGCTCGGGGCAGAGGGCTTCTCTGTGGCTGGTAGCCCTTTTGCAGAGGAGCTCTGCTGGTCTCAGTGCCTGCTGCGGGACGGTGGGGGCTCTGCTGTGGGGTCTGCATCCCAGGGACTTAACGCAGATTTTTCTCTCATAGAAGAAGTCTCCCTCAGTCAACATAATCGAGGTGTAAGTGCAGTACCACCTCTGCGTCTAGGGTCCTGGGTGTCCTGCCAGAGCCAAAGCAGGCCTTGGAAGAAGAGGCAGCACCAGGTGCCCAGCCTGGAACTCTGCATGTGAAGATCCATGTATCAGAACTTACGCTTTCCCAAGGGCGCCTGTCCGGGGATGTGCATGGAGCCGGCTCCCAGCCACGCACACCGTGCACGGCCCTACCTGTCCCGCATGCCTGGCCCCGCTCCCCTGCCGCTGCGGAGCGTGGAGCTGAGAACGGTCAGGGGGACACGCCACCAGCCATGGGGGAGAGAGGGGCCAGTGTGCTGCCTTGAGGGGAGGCAATATCCCCATGAGCTGGCTTGGCCAAAGGCCAGGTATGACCATGTGGCACCAGCCGCCTGCCCGGCAGGCCACCCGGAGCAGACCTTGCTCTCAGCTGCCATGTCTGAGCTCAGAGGGCAGGGCTGCTCCCCTTTTGGCCCTGAGACTGAGGGGAAGGGGCAGTGCAGGCATTCACTCCAGTGCTGCTGGGGAGATTGTGGCTCCACGGCAGGAGGGTTTGTCTGTGAGGCTGGGCCCAGTGAGCAGAGCTGGTGAGGGGATCCCTGCTGGAGAACAGGGTTCCACCACACCCCATCGTTGCCACGTAGGGGTTTCAGGGCCTCTCCCTGCTGCAGGGACACAAGCGAGCACAGGGAGCTAGTGCTGCCACGGCCTACAGAGCATGCAGCCAGGCAGGGAGGGCTGGTAGGAGCCGTTTTGTGGGGTGGTGGGAGCCCCAGAGAGCTGGGGGAGTGGGCAGGGCCAGGGCATGGCTGCAGCTTTGCCATTTCCCTGGCAGGGCTCAGTCCTGACATGTTCAGGCTGTTTGTAGGGAGCTGCTGAGCACCCTGTGAGCAGTGCGGTGCTTGTGCTGCCCAGGGGAGATAATGTGGTGAGGCCCAGCAGGATCTCGGGTGGGCTCAGCAAGATGCACACTGCAGAGCTCATCACCAGTCTGGGGACAATTAGTTTCAAATGCATCACATCCTGCTCCTGGCTTCTTCTGTCTTGGGGGGGATGGTCACTGCTGATTTTCTTGCTCCTGGAGCTGGTCCCAGGGCTGATGTGAGACAGACCGGTTGGAAAGGGCTGGCCCTGAATGCCCAGAGCGGGCAGACTGCTGGCTCGCTGTTACCTGCTCAGTCTGCCTGCTTGAGTGAGGACAACGTGAGCCATTGACTGCCCTGGTGCTGTGAAGAAGTGATGTCCGGTCTGTGCTTCCCCAGCCGTTCCCCAGAGCCTGTGGGTAGAATTCTGTCAGTGGGTGTCTAAATTGCTCTGTGGCTAAGGACAGGCCCAGGCGTGCCCTCCTGCCAGCAGCGGGAGGGGATGAGGATAGGAGGAGGCTCTCTGCTGCAGAGATGGCCGGTGGTGCCCTGGCTGCTGCTCTTCCTCCATGCTCTGCTCTGCAGCCTGTCACTTGAGCTGGGGTGCTGGCTCTGCAGCCCTGGACTCAAGCATCACAGGATCCAGCGTCTTCCAGGAATAAACCTCCCAGTAAAGCACTTTCAGGACTCTTCCTTCCAGGTGCTGCTCAGCTCCTGCTACAGGACTAGGTGGGGAAGGGACAGCATAAGCGACTCCTGCAGCAGGGTCTTTTCAATAAAAGCATCCTGGCTCAAAGGCACCATTGGACATGCAGGCTTGTGGGTCTCTGTGCGCGCACATGTGTGGATGTGGACCAGCACTTCTGGAACTTTGGTGTATTGCCCTCAAAAGAAGGGAGTGCTGGTGCTGCATGCTGGGTCGTGTTCTGCTGCTGGACAAGTTGCAGTTCTAGACTTTCCCACTGAGGATGGCTTTCTCTGGACAAACAAAACAAGCTGCAGAGAGCAAAGATGCTTTTGGTTTTTAGGGGGGGTACATTAAAAAAAAGGGGGCCATCAGGGAAATACCCTTTTTTTAAAAAAACTGGTGCTCTGTTAAATCTTACAAAGTGCTATCCTGGAGGGTCAGAGCAGACATATGCGTACTATCATGCAGAGGACATTCACCAGCACAGCCTAGACCAGCTGCACCCCCCCAGGGAATGGCACCCTTAAGGCCGGTGGCTGAGGAAGATGTTGGAGCTCCAGGGCTCCATGAGCTCAACACAGCAGAGACACAGTACCTTGCACACTTGTGCTTAGCACCCCATCCAGCACTCAAACCCAAATGACAACAGTAAAAAACTTACGTTTATTTCCCTATAAAGGCAGAGCTTTTCTTTAAAAACCAGCTCATTTCACTCATGAGAGGGTGGGGGGGGTGAATTGTGGGGCAAGGCCTTCCTCACTCACTCCTTCAGGCCAGGAGCTCCCTGAGGGGGACACAGGCCAAGCAAGTCCTCCATCTCCAGGAGCTGCTCAGCCTCAGCTGGTCCCCAGGAAGAGGGATGGGGGAGGAACAAGCGAAGCAGGTCAGACGGTGCAGTCCCAGGCGCCCTGCAGGCCAGGAGCCAGGCAGGTGGCTCTGCCCGCACAGGGAGCAGGGGTCCAGCCGCCCACACCAGGAGCAGGGAGCAGCTCGGCTTGAGCGGTTCATGCAGGCAGAGCGCAGGAGAGGGAGCAGGCGCCGCGGTGGCTGTGCTGAGGGCAGCGGTGCCAGCAGCCCCCGCGCCGAGCGGGCAGTGCCAGGGCAGCGCAGGCACAGGGTGAGTCCTGAGTGGCTGGTCTGTTGCTGCAGGGATGTGGCTTAGCCCAGGGGAGGCTGGGGGCCAGCAGTTGTGGGGCCAAGCATGGGGAGGGCTCCAGCTCCTGCCAGCCCCTTCCAGCCGTCTGGGGGTTGCCCCAGGCGGTAGCACAGTAACTGCGTAGTAGGAGAGCTTGCTCTGGGCACGAGAGGTGCTGACTCTGAAAAGCAAAAGGGAGAAAGACTCAGTCCACGAGGCGTGCCTTTGGGAACCCAGCAAACTTTCACAGGTGAGCCATCAGCCTCTTCCCTCTGCAGAGGACACTGGGGGATGTGGCAAAGCAGCATTGAAGGGAAGAACTCACCTGCTGGACTGCGGGCTCCCCTCCCCAGCTCCTCCATGCTGCTTTGGAAGAGAACAGAGCACCCGTCATACCCCAAGCAAGACCTGCCAAGGGCCGCAGCACACTTGTGACCCCAGCAATGCAGTTGTGATGCAGCAGGACCCAGCACTGGGAGTGAAGAAGGCCCAGGCCCACTTGCTACCAAACCCTTTCCCCGAGCCAGCCTGTCCTGAGACTGCAGAGCCACAACTCCTTCCCATCAGAAGCCCCCACGTACAAAGGGCTGCCACATCACAGGGCCACATGCATATCTCCAGCCTGTGCACGCTCTGGTTCTCAGCTGACCCTGGCTTAGCCTGGGCTCGGCCCCATGGCAGTGGCAGATCCCAGCCAGGGTCCAGCGGCCAGGCACAAGGACATCCACCACAATGTTGGCACTTCTGCAAATACCTACGGGTTAATCCTCCACTGCTGGACTGGTACACAGGAGAGACACCAGCAAGCTCAACCCTAGGCCTTAGTCCTTGCAGAAGTCACTGTGACCAGGCCTCCATCCTGGCCCAAGCCCGAGAGGAATCAGTGGGAAGAGAGGGACAACTCCAAGTCCCGCCTGAGGAGCCCCTCAGTACAAGACGTTGAGGTGCTGGAGTGCATCCAAAGAGCAATGAAGCTCTTGGTGAGGGGTCTGGAGCACAGGTCTGAAGAGCAGCTGAGGGAGCTGGGGTTGTAGAAAAGGAGGCTGAGGAGAGACCTTCTCACTCCCTTCAACTCCCTGAAAGGAGTGTGCAGCCAGGGAGGGAATCAGTCTCTTCTCCCAAGAGACAAGCAATAGGACAAGAGGAAACGACCTCAAGTTGCACCAGGGGAGGTTTAGGATGGATATTGGGAAAAATTTCTTCACAGAAAGGGTTGTCAAGCATTGGAACAGGCTGCCCAGGGAAGTGGTGGAATCACCATCCCTGGAGGGATTTAAAAGACAAGTAGATGTGGTGCTGAGGGACATGGGATAGTGGTGGACTAGGCAGAGCTAGGTTGATGGTTGGACTCACGATTTTGATTCTAAGCATGTCTGGGTAGGCTGGCCTCAGAAAAGACTGGCAGAAACAGAACAAGTAACATTTCTGGGTACATCCTGAGGGTCAGCATCTGTCCCCCACAGTCCCACTGCAAAAGCTGAACTGCAAGACGTGCCCCTCCACAGCTCAGCTCCCTGTTCACTCCACCTCTCGGCTGACAAAGGCAGAGAAGGCAGCAGGATGCTCCCCCTTGTTCCCATGCAGATCACCTCCATGCTCCCATGGTGCCTGTGGCCCCAGCAGCTCCCCCTGCATGGGATGCAGAGAAGGAAACAAGACAGAGTTCACCAGAGAGATCCCTGAACACAAGCAGCAGTTCAGCACCTACCCAGGTAGGGTGTCACCAACGTTATCACCTTCCTCCTCCTCTTCCTCCTCCTGGCAAACAAACAAAACAAAAAAAAAACCACCATGACACCTCGCTGCCTGGGCAGGTCTCTGTCAGGAGTGAGCCAGGGCTGCTCGGAGCCTGATCTGAAGCAGCAGGACAGTCCCTGGGCCCTTCACAAGACACAGTCACCCACCAGGCATGGCACAGACAAAGGGTGCCTGCAGGCAGTAGGGGGAAAGATGGCACCTGCTGAAAATCTCTGGGCTCAGGCACAGCCACACAAGGGGAGAGACAGACCACGGCTCTTCTCACATCCCCTCCAGCCAGCAGAGCATCAAACACGGGCCGTGACAGGGAACAAGCCACCAAGCTGAGAGCTGCTGCCCTCAGCACAGCTGTGCCCAGAGACAAGAGTAGGGTGAGCACATCCTGCAGCTGGAGGACCAGAGGACCACCGGGAATGGGCTGTAAGCAAGGACGACCCCAAGTTCTGCCAGGCTGGGCCAGCACTAGGAGCACGAGGCCAAGGACCAAGTGACCAAAGGCTCCTGGGCAGGGACACAGTGAGACCTGCAAAGCTCTCATCATCCCTATACACGCAGGAGACATAGTGCAGATGGGCAGGGCTGAGTCTTACCCCAGGCTGGCAAGATGATGACCAGACAAAGGCTCCTCTCCTTCAGAGACAATGTCCCACCCCTAGCCATGGCACCAAGCATGCAAAGCAGGTCCCAGCTGCGTCTGACAGTGCCAGCAGAACAGAGCTGGGAGCTGCTGTGATGCTGGGCCTGACAGGAGACCTCCTGCAGCAAAGACTGCCTGAGGAACCATGCTGCCTTGTGAGCCAGACAGAGCACAGGGCTAGCGCACTTCTTCATCTCAGGCCACCATGTGCGAGGGTGGCTGTGCAGATATGCACAGGGCCCTAGAAAGCCAGGAGGAGGGAGGTACGTAACCATTTCTCTTTTCCTGCTCTTGTGTAAGACAGCCCTGGGACTTGCACATACTGTACCCCAAACTGGTGTCTGAAGGGAGGGCTCCCCGGGGGGGCTGGCTCACTTGGTCTGCCGGGCTCACTGCTCTCCAGGACACATGAAGGGTGAAGGGGCTGTTCCTGCCTAGAGCCTGGGACAGGGCAAAAGCAGCAGAGTTAGCGCCTGCAACCTGGAGAAGGCCCAGCAGGGGATGTGCAGGCAGGGCTGTGGGCAAGGGACAGATACCCCTGTAGTGCTTGGGGAAGGTGCAAACAAGGTAGGGGGGAATTACTGCTCAGGGCAGGTACCAGAGAGCCCTCAGCTGTGCTACAGCTCAGCAATGCAGAAGAGTTGAGCATGGACAGAGTGGACACCCCCACCCCAGCCAGAGACAGGGCAGGCTCCCCAGGTGGGGCAGTGACAGAGAACAAAAAGCAGGGAAAAATTCTCACTGTTTGGTGTGTTACACCAGCCAGGCAGTGAGCCATCTCTCCTCCACACAGCCCAAGATGGGGTCCCACAACGGAGACCCTGACCCCAGGGCTAGGCAGAGGGACATGTTTGAGAAATTCCTCCTACCTGCATGTGCTGCTTCCCAGAGATCCAGTGCCATCTGGAAAGCCTGAGCCACGGTCAGAGTCACAGCCTGGGCCTGTGTACAAAATAGAGGGAGAATGTCTGCTTCCATCTGGGCCCTCAGACCAGGACAAGCCCACTGCCATGAGATGTGAGAGGCCCCAGGTCTCTCTCGCCATCTTTGCCTGCAGAGCTACAGTTCAATGCTGTGTCTGTACACCCATGTGGGCCATCCCCGAAAGAAGATCTCAGAGGAGCTGGGACAGAAGGATCTCCTTTCACTCCCCACCCGCCTCTGCAGTGTGTGAGCACACAGGTGCTGCCCTCGCTCTGTCTCCAGCTGTGGTGCGCAGAGGAAAGGGCCTTCTCTCTCTGACAGAGGAGAGGAAGGGACATGCTCCCACCCTTACCTTATGGAGCCAAAAGCAGAAGGGCAGTGCTTACAATCTTCTTCTTGGGCGAGAGGAAGGCATGGCACTCCAGTGCCCCACTCTCCTGGCTCTGGGCAACGTAAGCAAATACTTTGTTCTGCAGCTTGTCTGTTGTGCAGTAGGAGATCCTGCAGGCAGAGAGGAGCTGCTCAGGGCAATAGAGGACCCCAATGCAGGTCTTCTGCTGTGCTTCCAGCAATGCTGACAGCCTGAGGCTTTCCTCTGCCTGAGCTGATCAGGCAGCCAAATGCTCCAGCAAGGGCCAGAGGCTGCCTGGCACGTACAGCTGGAAAGAGGTCACTGCATCCACAGGCATTCCCTCCACGCTGCCTCAGTGTGCTCCTTCGGTGCTCTGGTGCCCAGTTCAGCCCAAGCACTGAGACAAAGGGAGCACAGAAGCATGGGTGATTGCCTCCAAGGACACGGTTTGAGGCCGGGCAGTAGGTCTGCCTTGGAACATCGGCTCTGGTGCTGAGACCCAAATTTTGCACCAAGGAGATGTCCTGTCTCTGCTTCCCACCTGGCCACCACCTTGCAGCCATGCTCCCCTCACACCCACCACCCACAGACATGCAACCCAGCAGCAGTAAAAAAAACCCACATCAGCTCTCACAGCAACTGTCTTTAGCTAGCCCAAGTCGGCTGCGGTCCATGGCACCCTCATCCCACTGCAGCCAGAAGGGTGGTCCTGTGTCAGTGGGGAGGGCCAGACGTGCAATGCTGCCCTAGCTGTGGGGGCTTGCCAGCCATCAGCCTCCATGTCCCGCTTGAATGCCAGAAGAGGCAAGCACGGCCCAAGGAAAAGACAGATGGGCTGACCCAGAACTCGAGGCCACCCAGGACCCTGCCTGCATTCAGTCCCATGCAGTGCTGTGGGGCACAGCAGGGAGAGGGCACAGGTCTCAGGGAGCCAAAGGAAGATCAAAGCTTGAAGGTACCACAAGCAGAAATCCCAGCCCTCCCTGGCTGCTCAAGACCCCATCATTCTTCAGCTGACTGCTGGGAATACCCCAGCTAACCCGCACGCTGTGCCCACCTGTAGATGGAGATGTTCTCAACCATCTCCTTGGTGTCTGCATCCTGCAGTGAGATGCCCCTCGGAGACACTGTCAGAATCACCTTCTGGAACTTGCGAGCTCCCACCCGTGCCTGGCAGGAGGGAGACACCAGACATCTCTGCATATCTGGCAAGGGTCTTCACCCCTGCCTCACTGGCAGGAGTCCCCCAGACTCTGTATGGAGGGCCACCCACTTGGGCCCTTGCTGCAAAGGCTGCTGCAGTTGAGACAGGAAAACAGCGCCTGGAGATCAGGTATGCCCTGCACAGAACAACCCTGGAATCCATTCACACTACTGCCATGCACATGGGAAAGGACAGACCCCACCAACCCTGGCACCTCACCCTCCTCTCCACTGTGACAGGCACAGCTCTGCTCCTGGCCGTGCTCCCCACACGGGAGAGGGCGGCAGTGGCTGTCCTGCAGGAAGGCAGTTTTCCCCACAGCACAGGGGCAGAGACCAGCCTCTTGTGCGCCTCCCTCCTCCTTTGAACAGCACGGTCCCCATCTGGGGTTCAGGGCTGGAATACGGACACTTCCCAGAGTCCAGGGACTCCAAATTGGCTCTTCTCCACCCCGGCAGCGCAGGGCCCCAGGGCTATCTCTCACCGTGGCCACGATCCGGCGGATGGCAGCAGCAGCCATGTCTTCTCCTTTGGGTTTTTCTACCAGTGTCATGCCGAGATACTTGAGCGTGAAGCACATCCCCTCAAGCAGTGGCTCCTGCATATCAGCCCAGCTCTCAGGAAGCTCTGCAGAGACAAAATCCCTCAGCAGCATAAGCCACCTGCCAGTGGCCCCATGGCTATCCCCAGCAGTGTTGGGGCATCTTGCTGTAGCTGCCCTGCTCCCAGCAGCAAAGCCGCTACCTGCATGCAGCAGGGCACTCTCCTGGCTCCATGAGGTTCTTGGAAGAGAATGAAAGCACAGTTCACTCTCAAAGCTTTTAGTCCTCCGTTCCTGGAGGTGCAGGCTGTCAGCACAGATAGTAAGCTCCTACATATCTGCACAGGGCCTCAGATGCTGCAGTGTTCAGTGCCATCTGCAAAAACCTTGCATTCCCAGGTCTCATCTATTTCACTACAAGCAGGATGTGCTCTAGACTGCATTCATCCCACCCACCTAAGATGCTAGCACACCTCAGAACAGCAGCATTTGCTGCCATGCTTGGTCAGATCAAAATCCCCAACTTGTCCCCATATAACCGAAGCCAGACCCTCTGGCAACTATCACTCACAGCAGCACCTCCACGGAAAGGGCAGCTCATCCAGCACTCACAGTCCAAGTTGAATGTCTGGGAAGCAGCTGCATAACAAAAAATCTGTGCTAAAGAAGAGCTTGGACTGGTATTTCAAGGATGCAAACTAGCTTCCAGGAAAACACATTTTATGGATGAACTCCAATGCATAGAGGGAGAAGGATCATCACTTGGACTGGATGACCTTAAAGGCCTTTTCCAAACTAAATGATTCTATGAGATCTCCCACGTGCATTGCTTTGCAGGTCACAGAATTAAAGGGGGACTGGCTTCTGTTTCCTCTGTCCTCTCTTTTCAAACCCCATTGCCGCAGTCAATAAAACCAACAATAACAATAAAAAACCCAATGGGCAGAGTGTCTCTTCACTCAAGGAAGATTCCCTAGGGACAGTCCTCAGCATCTCCAGCTTCCTCCAGAACCCAGTCCATTTCAGCAGCACATTGTGTGGCACAGTCAGTCCTGACATCACCACCGCTGGCAGAGAACACACAAAGCAAGTGCTGTAGAAGCATCCATTCAACCTCTGCTCCCACAAGACAACGCCATTGACTTCAACAGAGAGTTCACTCTCATCAAAGGGAAAAGCTCTAGTTATCAGACTAATGTGCCACACACAAATGAACACTTCTCTTGTGCCAAGTACTTCCTAGTGATGATTTTCAAGGAGAGCTGAAGCAGGTGTTAGCACACATTTACTTTCCTTAAATCCCAAAGAGCATAAGGATGGTGAGAGCGGAGATATGCAGAAGGGCTAGGACACAGGGAGTCAGTCTCTCTCTTCTTCTTGGGGATTCATCCCACCGAGGAGCGAAGGAACAGGAACACAGAAGTTACCTGCTCTGCTACTAACACCAGGTTTGTACACTTCCCTGGGAATTGCCTAGGTATATACTGTTCACATTAAGCGAATACTTTTCAGGGTTATTTTTCACCTCTTCCCTGGGATTAGCTCCCTGAACATCACTGGCACACTTGCAGAAGCTCTGACTCATAACTGGAATAACCCGAACCCACAGGGAAATCGGGAGACCTTATTTGCACATCGTACTCCTGCACAAATTGCAACTGCCAGGGAACCCACTGGCTACCATGCAGGCACCAGTGATCATCTCTCCCCAGGGCAGAATAGCACCGTCTCACTCCAAACTGTGAGAGCAACCCCTGCCCGCCAGGGCTGCCAGCATGACCTCTGCTGCTCCCATAAACTCTCTGGGCAGCAACGACCGAGAAAGCCCAGGCTGTGGGGTGTGCCTCGGATCTGGCTGTGCCGCAGAGGGCAGAGCAGTCACCCCACAGAGAGCGACGTGCAGGCTGCCACGCTCACCACACACACGGGGGTGCCTGCAGAGGACCGGGCACAGCGGCTCGCGGGGCCAAGGCTCGCGGAGGCCGGGAGGGTGCCTGCGGATGCGGTACGGCGCGGTCCGGCACCTGCCGCCGGTGCCGCCTGTCGCAGCCGCCCGAGGCCATCCAGCCCCACGGCGCGGGTGGCCCCGATTCTAAAGTGGGGCAGGAGGCTGGCAGCCAAGGGAACGTGGCGGGAAGGGCCAGGCGAGCGGCCCACAGTGCTGCTGCTCGCCTCAGCCTGCTGCCCCACTGCCCGCCCCACAGACCCCCGCTGCCGCCAGCCCACCACGGCCCGTCCCCGGCCGGCGGCCCCCCGCTGCTCCCCGCAGCATCACCGGCTCCCCTCGTCCCGCGGCACTGCCCGTCCCCCGAGCCCCGCACCGCTCCCCGCCGCGCCGCAACCGTGCCTCGCACCGCTCCCCGCAGGGGGCAGCGGCCGCCTCCCGGGCCCGGCCAGACCGAGATACGGGTTCCCCGCCCCACCTCCGGCGCACCCGGCCCCCGCCCGCCCCGCGGCGACCGCGGCCCGCACTCACTGCGCC